CGAATTTTAAATTTAAAAAAAAGATACTTCTATCAATCTAAAGCAACTCATACATGTCAAAAAATCGGTTTTTCTTTGTACATTTAAATATATAGAAAAAAAAATTGAGGGTAATTTTTACGTTTCACCCTCTACATATCCACCCCGTACAGGGTACAGGACTTTTTTTGACGCCTTCAGGATTTTGGCCATTTTAACGAGGGGAAATGATTTAAAATTGGTTCCAGCTTTTTATCTTTCAGGGCAAACGAAAATCACAATTTGCGGCTCTGTGAACTCTACTACTTGTGTAGGGGGTATAAGCACGGGGCAGAGCTGGGCAGGGCTTGAGTGCTTTGTGCTTGCGAAAGTGCTTGAAGCACTTTGAGGGCTTGAAAGCCCTGTGCTTCAAGCCCTTTTATAGATTTGTAATTGGGGCTTGCAAAGTCAATTACTTTAGAAAAGTGCTTGGTAATTTGTAATTGAAAAAAGTAATTCAAGCCCTTTCAATGAGCTTCAATTACTTTTAGAGGGCTTGAAGCACTTTTGGGAGCTTGAAGCCCTTTGAAAGGGCTTGAAGCCCTTTAAGAGGGCTTGAAGCACTTTTGGGAGCTTGAAGCACTTTAAAAGGGCTTGAAGCACTTTGAAAGGAATTTGAATTGACCATCATTCAACCTCCCACTTAAAAATTTTCGATCGTGTTTTGTCCCTTAATTTTTTTTTCTTTTATTTGAACTTGAACCGTCTTATGTCTTTTCTCTCTTAACAATGGAGGTTTTGGGTTCGAGCTTAGAATGGAATTTAAAAAAAAATGAATGAACTTATTATTAAAATAAATAATTAATTTATATTGGTACCCTATTTAACTTTATCACTGGATTTTTTCCACTTTTCCCCATTGAACATTTTGAAAACCTTAAAATTGAAGTACCATGTAGTACCCCAAGTACCTACCCCAGAACTACATCTCAAAAAAAAACATACTACTGCTACTCTGTGAAATGTAAAGTTCGTCTCTACTATACCAATTCTGTGTGATGAGTTTACGCGGTAGCTTATGCCACTTTGAGAATTTTATTACAAATTCAAAGTGCTTTAGGCACATTTAAAGAGCTTCAAGTACATTTAAAGAGCTTGATTCGAGAAGCACATTTAAAGAGCTTGAAGCCCTTTTCAAGGCACCTCAAGCACTTTTGATGTGCTTCAAGCACTTTTCAAATCACTTTGAGGGCTTTGTGCTTGTCAAGCCCAAAGCACTTTGAGGGCTTTGTGCTTGTGAAGCACTTTTAAAAATAAAAAGGAATTTGTGCTTGAAATTGAAGCACTTTGATAGAGGGCTTAGGGCTTAGTGCTTCAAGCCCTTTTACTGAGGGCTTTGCCCAGCTCTGGCACGGGGCACGGGCAGCAAGAGGCTAATGATTTTTTTGGCATTTGCTAGATCTCTGAACAGACCATGCCTACCTTAATTTCCGTTCACAACTGCAATAGACCTATCTCGCATGATTAGAAAAAGAGAGCTTAATTGTAATAAATACAAGTTAGAAAGCAATAAAAGATGACATGCGCGCGCAACTCGTAGGCTGCTGTGTAGCCAGATTGTATTGTTGCAGAATAAATGTAGACAATACAAATCGAATATTATAACATTAAAGAAGTGATATAGTGTCAAGTGTTTTACAATGCCTTATATCAGACAAAAGAAGAGTTTTAAAGTGGATGAACATCGTTTGCACTTTTATTTTGATAAATGTTTCCTCCGGCAACATGGCTCAATGAAATTGCAAAGGAATATGTCAAGTATAATCTTAAACGAAACTGTGGTGAGTTCAAGTAATATGTAAAAAATTAGTTTGCTCTTTGTCAAATTACACGTTACAAAGAAAGAAGGAACAATTCATTCTGAACTGGCCCCTGAATAAGAATATGACGCAAGCCTGTCACAAACTTGCTTCTCATTGGACGCTCACCTGCAGCCTACAAGCGACGCGCGCAGTCCAGGTAATAGGAGATAGGTCTATTGTTGTCGTTGTTGTTGCAAGTATTTTCAAGACATTAACGTGGAATTTGACGTTTTTATTTCGAATATTTTACTGGTTAATGAAATGACGATTCTAGGAACTGTCTTTCTATGTGTTATCTTCCTGACGGGTCCGTTCACCAGCGAGTCTTCAACCTAGTGAGAAAAGGGAAAGGTGCCCTGTTTGCTTGTAGGATACTAGAGGTATCTTTCAGAGAGCCAGAGTTTTGCTGGACACAGCCAGCGTGGTAAACTTTGTTGCTGAAGCTTGTGTTCGACGTCTCGGTTTTCAACAGAGCACTGTTCGTTCCTACAGGAGCTTTAGGTGGCATGTCAATCTCTTCCAGAGGTGGAGTTACTAAGTGTGCTCATAAGCCTAATCACAAAGTCTGATTCAACCCAAACTTCAACTCAACCCCTCAGAATAGGGACACATTTGGAATCTACCCCTGCAGATAGCCAATATCAGTTAGATACGGTTTCCGGAAAATATTTGGAGCACCTTATGGAGCCAATGGGAACTATTTTTGGATGCATTTTCCAAGGTAAAACAGCTTGTCACTCCTCGCTTCAAACTTCCGATGCCTTGCTGGAGTGTCATATTTCCGTGGGTGATCCAAATCTGGGAATACAGTTGGAAAAATTCTGGATTGTTGAAGTGCGACATGCATATCGTGAACCCTCAGGGGCTCGATTCTCGGGCCAGGGACTAGAGCTCCCCTTGTCAACGTTATCGAAAAGTAAACGAAATCTACTCCTTGAGACGAGAATCGGGCCCCTTTGCTGGAATCAAAATTATCCAAAAACCTGAGATACACAAAACAAAAAATCGGATTGCATGAGAAAGTATTTGGACAGAAATCCACGACTTACAAAGTATAAAGTACGGTTCACTGACGACTGAACGAACAGAAGACTGCAAGACACAAAGTTCTTGTATAATTTATCTTCACAAGGAATTTTCTCGGAGACTATTTTGACTATAGGACTGCGGTTTTCACGAGAGATCTTAGAATCCTATCCTTGATTTAATTAGCTTAAGTCGTTTTTTAGGGTTACACCCCCTTTAACGGACCTAGACTTCAAATAGATAGTTCTTTCTTGCTTTTGTCCTTCCGCTTGGATGCTTATAGTTTCGTGGCCGATTGTATCAAAATGTACAGACAGATTGACATTTAGTCCCAATTTTATAACTAAGGTTTCTCTGGAGGTTCTTCCTTGGTCATTTCTCGATTGAGCTTTGAGAACTCTCTAGAAACTGGCCAATCAAGCTTTCCGGAAGCAGTCCCTTCAAAGGGACATTTACGTATAGATAGATGATCACCCAACAGGCTGTGATTCTCTGGAATCTACGAACTTCCTTAATTCCTCAAGAGGTTCTGATGGAGCGTAGCCTTCTACAGTCCGGGGCATTACCCACTAAACTAGTTAGCCGCTCTGCCCCCCAGAGATCAACGCCTATGATAGGCATCAAGTTTTTGGACTTGGCTGGGTTGACCTTTCCCCTGGTACTGTTTACCAGGTTTCCACACCAATGTTTGACGAGTCGCCTTTCGGTACTCACTTTTGTGAGTAGCTAGCACATTTCAAGTAATACACACTTGTGTGTGCCTTTCAACCACGAACCCTAGAATCAGCACAGCGGTGTGCATTTTTTCCGATGTTGGAATGTGGTCGACCTACCACCGTATTCCTTGTATTAAATGGGCTCAGTAGGTAAGTCCCATCAAGGATCCGAGATCGGGGTTGCCTCCTACTAGTTTTCGGAACACCCTAGCCATCCGTTACCCAGATAGGCCAGATATACTGGTAAACAGGGGATAGGCATTAGGGGTCCTTTGCTTGCGCCAACTAGTGATACTACGGGTATTACACCTTTAACTCCCTTGCCGTGCCCGAGTTATTGACCGGACAAGTAACTGTTCGAAGTAAATTCCACCAACCGGGAAGCTCGGCACATCGAACTTTCAGCCAGATTAACTGGGATTATTGGTAAAGTTTCCCCCTTCTTATGGAGGACGAGACGATACCGCTACCATCTTTCTGGAGAGAGGCTCAGGAACTTTGCCCAAAATTCTGGGATCGTTCGAGAGCTCCTTCCTCCTTTCCCTATCATAAGATGGTAGATACGACACAGTTCGGTGGGTGTTGACAAAATTTCATCAGCAAACCAGCCTGCATAGTAATGTGGGCAGGGAGAGTGGGAATCTCGTTGATCCGATGGATAACCAGGTCCCTGGATTAAGGCACTTCCTGCAGACAGAACTCATGCAGATCTTGAAAAAAAGGCGATATTCAAGTTAGTGAGCCAACTACTTATTGCCAGTTCTCCAAACATCTCGCTCCTTTGACAATGGTCAGCCAAAGCCGGAAATGGGACCCAAGTTCCGATGTATTTTCATATTCATGTGCACCTAATCTTAATCAACGTTGCCGTTGCACCAAGCGGATGTATATTGAAACTTTGAATACCTTTATGTTTTAGCTCCATCAATCAAACAAACCAAGACTTCAAGACGTGTTGTTGCAGAGTCTCTCGACAATTGAAATTCATGGTTTTTGCGATACCAGTCAGTCAAAGTAGGTAGCTCGTCGGTCCATCTTTTTTTCAGATTCTACAAACCTCTGAAGTCATCAAAACATCTCTGGTGTGTGCCAAATGCCAAAAGTCAGTCCCTTGAAGCTTCACTCCATTCCTAAGCTCGAATTAATAACCGCAGTCATAAACTTGCGATCCGAGATTTTGGAATATGTAGTGTACCTATGCCAGGAAGATAATATTATATTCTTCCTTAAACTGTATACGTTTGCTTTGGAGAGGTGCAGTGAGAGAAAGGAGGTATGAGACTTGACAACTCATACTTGAAGCTTGAACCATCTGGTTCGCCGATGATATCATGCTTATTAGTGGTGACATAGATGAACTCGGAAAATTACTAGAGGACCAAAAGCTCGCATAATCTGCACTATGACAAGAAATGAATGAAAATAAAAACAACACAGCTTCTTTTTAAATCTAGAACCTATTATAAGTACCTAGTAGGAATAATTTATTTGCATAATAAAACTAAAACAATATGAAATATAATAATCTAAAATGTAGGTATACTATGTACAATCTTTTAATTTTTCCGAGCAACTTGTTCATCATAGTATCGTCTTTTAAGTGTCCGATATTTCTTCAACATATAAAGCGTCTCAATTTCCTTAGCTACAAATTCTCCATGTTTTATCATTTTTTCAATGTTTTCCGGACTAGACTCATCTTTATTTTTCAAAAAAGCATTATGTAGCCTGCTTCGAAAAAAATCGTAGCCTTTGGGCCATTCTTTGCCTAGATGTAAGAGCTGGAAGGAAAAAACTTAAAAGTCAATGTGTACTTGAAAATGCTGGATATGTTGATACTTACATTCTTGTACAAAGTTACAACACGGCTTCTTTGGGACATTTTGTTTTAAACAAATAGGTACCTATAATAATACTCATACAGGGCATTCCATCAACAAGACTTTTTGGACTACAAAAAAAAGAACTAGGAACGTTAATTGGTTTTTTCTTATAAATACAATTTTAAAATGCCTACAGTCATATTTTCAATTTTTATCCTGTCACCTCAACCTCCTGTCATAAAATTTCAGGAGCCAAATGATACAAGAAGACACGATCTACAGAAGCAAATGGAACAACAAATCATTGAAAAAGTTAAAAATTCTCGCAACAATAATTTCGATCCTTCTGATTATTTTTGCTATTGTATGTCTCTGTAGTTTATTTGTGTTATTTTATGTCTTTGTAGTTTTTTGTTTGTGATAATTAATACTGCAGCCAAACGATAAAAAAAAGTATGTACTTAGAAGTTTATTTTCACACCTACAACTGATTGTTGTTTTCGTGGCTCTGCGGTTTTCAACGAACAGCTAGAACATCTCTATCAACAAATTATTCTTAATAGGTCAGTTATTTACTCGGTTATTTACTTATCATTTTCTATAATTTTTGGCGTTCAAAGGACCATTATGATCCAAGAATTCCTATAGAAGTAAAAACAGAGGAAAAGATGATATTACCTATTGGAAATGCATTTAACCAATGAAAAATAGGTTGAAATTGTATTACCTAATTATTGGGAATTACAACAAAATTTGAACTATGAAAATCCAAGAAGCCAGGCAAATGTCATCTAATTTGAATTGGAAATAAATTTATTAAAGTTTGTTCATGAGAAATATAAATTTAGACCTTTCAAACAACAATTCACACAGATTGTCAGAAGACTCATGTTTGGGAATTACATTTATCTGCACTGATATTGCCTATCATCTGAGATGGATTGCCTATTGCCAGAAGACTTGGATTCAAAATTCTTTTCCCATGACCAAAGGTATAGTCCGGGAGGTGGTGTCACTTTTGGACTAGTGATCGATCTTCACACGAATTTTTCGGTGTGCGTAGTTCTCCACATAAACATATGAGATCCGCGCGTCAGTCAGTCCAATAGCGGTGGGTGTGGGTGTGGGAGTCTGTGGAGCTCGTCGGAAAAACTATAAAAAAAAAGTCAATAATCTGAACATGAAAATTTGTTACAATGTTAATTATTGATAATTAAACGTGAAAATGTTCGTCAGTGATGCTTCCGACGGGGGAAACATCGTCAGTCAGAGAGGAAAAGTTGGAAAATTCAAGTGACCGATCTTCACTTGAAATTTTATGGAATGATTATTTGAATCAAATCAAGCATGAAAATGAACGTCAGCCACCTTTATCGTGGTGGATTCTGCGTCAGTCAAATTTCTAAAGTCGAGGGCAATGACCAGGTTTCTTTGGCGCGCTGCATCTTATGCAGTTCGACTGATGAATAATCCACCATTCGCGTGCCGACTGACGATTGTTTATCGAATGTCTAAGACAATTCTGAACTCTGAACTTACAGGAGAACGGAAAAAACTGCAAGAGACGTTTATTATAAAATGTTCACAAGTTCCTCTTCGGTTTGAGAGAGCGTTGAAGAAGAATAAAATCCTTACGTTTTCAGATGCTGTAGAAAAAAAGCAGATGAACGTCAATGGGAAAATTGTCGAGGTAAAATTGCAAAGAGATTATTTGTTTGGAAAGCTCTTGAGAGTATCGTTGGAGAAAACATTGAATATCGAAAAAGTTTTGACTTACCCCTTAACTCCAGTTCCTTTAGCGTTTGGCCATTTGGAAGGAACAATAATATGTAAAACCGATAAATCCGTTTTATTGCATATTCTGGAGAAAGAAGTGGAAAGTTATGAGCTCGAACAATGTGACACCATCGTTTTGGATGGTTTTCACACAGTCCACGCTATGACAGAAATTCCTGTATCTTTTGGAAACATTTCACAAAAAATCTTACATTCTTTCACTGCGAACCGCGCAAAAACCATCATTATTGCGTTCGATCGTTACGTTTCCCCATCAATAAAAGATAACGAGCACATAATGCGTAGAAGAGTAGTGGGAAATCGTTTTACCATCAATGAACCTCAGCAGAAACGATCATCGAATTTTAAAAACGATTTGAATAATACTTATTTCAAGGATGCGTTGGTGGGATTTTTATGTGGAATCAGGTCCATATGAGACTTTAATTTGGTTTGCTTTGGTGACGGAACTGTTTTCGTAAACTATGAGAAATGTTTCAAGTTCGAAGTCATTGATAATAAGGTTTTCAGAATAGTAGAGGAAGATTTGTCATGCTCTGAACATTTGGAAGCTGACTCTTTCATTTTCATGCTCGATTTGAATCAAATAATCAATCCATGAAATTTTAAGTGAAGATCGGTCACTTGAATTTTCCAACTTTTCCGACTGCGTCAAACCTCTGACTGACAATGTTTCCCCCATCGAAAGCGTGACTGACGAATATTTTCACGTTTAATTATCAATAACTAACATTCTAACAAATTTTCATGTGCAGAATATTTACTGCTTTCATAGCTTTTCCGACGAGTTCCACAGCCTCCCACACTCACACCCACCGCGGTCGCGCTGACTGACTTTCAATTTTGATCACAGTAATGGTGAAACTCTTCAATAAATCACATTTCAATCGGAGATAAATCACTAATAAAAAAGTGACACTACCTCCCGGACTAGTACAAGAAAGTAACCAAAAATCGGTAAGACTATCAAGTGGATAATTGATTTTTGAATTGGCACACTACTAAGAGAAAAACTTCATTCTTCCCCCTACAAAAGTAGATTTTTTTTATCTTGTAAGTATAGGCGAGCGAAAGCGAAAGTGAAACATGCTAGTAGTTACTTTGAAGGGAAAGAATGAAAAGTTTATTACATTACACGCTGCAAAGGCCCTTTTAGGTGCTAGGAAGTATTCAAACAGCCTCGGTTGCGCTTCGCTTCGCCTCGGCTATTCGGATACACCTTGCACCTAAAAGTACACTTTCGCAGCTTGGAATATAAATAACTATTTTTATTATTGAGAATTTCATACATCCGTCAAAACTGGTATTCCAACAATAAATTGACATGTTTTGATTGTTGATTTGAACCAATCAGATTGTAATTACGCCATAATTTGCACTAGTGCAAATTATCAGATAATTGCATACTAACTGATGCAAAAACTGGTGTTTTGACATTTTTTTACAAAAAATTTAAATTTTTGATTTATGAAATTCTCTCATTAAATACAACTCGTGCAATGGAAATATATTTATAATTTTCGACAAATTTGCACTCATGCGTTTTTAACTGAAAAAGGCACTCGTGCTCTTTTCAACTAAAAATGCATTCGAGCAAATTTCCCAAAAATTATCAATAATTTCCATTGCACTAGTTATATTACTATTGAAAATTGAGGAAACTTCATATTTGGGCATAGTTTTAAGGGGCTATCCGCAGCAATGAAAAAATTTCTCATTTTGCCCCTAGGGGCACTTAGCTCGTGATAATTTTTTAAAAAATGTGCTACCAGTGCACCAAAATTTTATATTATCTGATGATAGTTTTCAAAGGACATTCTGCGGCCATAAAATATTTTCTATGAAGTCCCTAGGAGCCATTCACTATTAACAAATTTAGGATATAATTGCTACTGGCACAATTTATGTTTTAAACACTATCATCAAATCAAGCATCAAATATAAAGTTTGATTAATTTTGGTCCATAAATAGCGCTGTTAGCAAGTTTTTATCCGAAATTTGTTAGAAAATGGCCCTAGGGGCTCAAAGGAAAATACCGAGGATTATTTCATTCATTACAAAATAGTCCCATCAGACAACGTCATTTTTTGAATGAATTTTGTTTAAATAAGTGATTATTTCACAAGACCTTGTTTATCAGCGATTAAATTTTTGTTTACCTTTTTTGACAGAATTTTGATAGAAATATTCTGAGATTTTATAATAAATAGAACTCTTTGGATAGGATTGACGCCAACAATTCAATCCTTATTATTCAGGAAATAATCTAGCCGTATACTGCCCTCCTAAGAATAAACGCCGTATGTTTAACAATTTCGAATATCGAGTTTTTGTTGCCAAAAATGTTCTTTTGCTTTAACTTAGCTGTCTGCCATATATAAACGCCGTTTCTTAACTAGAACTATTTAAAACTATGCACAAAAATCCTGCCGTATGTTCCTATTGCCAATTTGTGCCAAATATGAATGCGGTATATAGGTTCTACCAGTAATAAAGGCGGTAAAAATACTGGCTGCCTGCGAACTTACCGCGTTTATCTTTGATACGTGAATTTTATCAAATTAAAAAAATTTCTATAGAATTTTGGAGATATTTATTACAAGAATCCACAATAAAAATTATTTAAATGTCATAAATGCGAAAGGGCCAAGCCAAAAACTTCAAAAGTGAATATTTCAGTTCACCGCCTCATGAACATACCGCGTTTATTCTTAGGAGGGCAGTATACCACTCGACCTATAAATTTAAATGGATTAAACTATCCAAATATTTTTTGCATAATTTTGCTTTTTGGCAAATAGTTTCCTGCACAATAACTTTTAAATAAAAGCCCTCGACCGCTTCGCGGTCTCGGGCTTTTATTGAGTTATTGTGCTTTCAACTATTTTCCAAGCAAAATCATGCTCAAAATATGTTGGATAGTTTAATCGATTAAATTTAAAGGTCTTGTGATATAATATATGAAAATATACTTTCATGGCAGCAGAAAGAGTCTCTTAAAAGCAATCACCAAACATAAAGTTTGGTAAATTTTGGTGCATAAATAGTGGTGGTAGCGTGTTACTTCCTGAATTTGTTAAGAGTAAAGTACCCCTATATTTGTATGGCATTAGAAAGCCCTCCAAAAACTAATTATTCCTAGTTATAAAGTTTCGATAATTTCCATCAATAACTAGGTTTGGCAGCAATTTTTTTTGTGTGTTTTGATCAGGAAATTATTTCCTACCACTTGAACATTTAACATTGGAAGATAGGTGGCATTTATTTTTTTCAGTTCAATAATGAGCTCCTTGTCATTTGCAAGAATTCTGAATAAATGGGTGGATTGGGTGGATGGAACCAATAAGAACAACATTTTTTGTCACTGGCTGTAAGGTACCCTATTTAGAATATTTTTTGTGGAGTGGAGTACGGAGTACCTGCTCTAAAGAAGATGGTCTAGAAGTCGACCTTGAGGCAGCGAAAATCTTAAATAGGATGATATGAGACATGAAATACTAATTTAAAAAACATGGATGTCAAAAGAAGCAAAGGAGCTTATTAAAGGATTGCATAGGTACACTAAAAAACAATAATTATAAAAATATTAACAGGCAGATGTCCAACATCTAGATATACAAATGATTAAGTCGAGACGACCTTAGAGTTTGTAGAACAACTATTTGTTAAATTACAGAATCAAATAGTTAGTAGAAATTGAAATAGAAAGGTGATGAATAAAAATATTCTATTGTAGATATAAATTTCTACACTCCTATATTCTGTACCTACCTAAAGATTTAAGGCTTATTAGTCATTCCAGGTTTTGGTAAGTATGTCTAGGGTCCTTGTAAATTGTTAAAAGTTTTTACTAAAGTTTGATGACTAGTAACAAGAAGAAGAGTGTAATGACTTATAATGTAGATAATCCAGATACTGAGTATACTTATGAAAGTTGTTTTAATTGCCCAATAAAAGCACGGTAAAACAGATTCTGTGATGAGATAAGTTACCTTTGGGGCCCTGTAAGGCTAAGAATATAATAATAAAGTTTCACAACTACTATTATAAACTCTGTACGACATGAAGGCAAATCAAAACTGTAGGTATGAAAAATAACTCAATTACCGTCAAACGGGGTGACTAAGGACGGATTTGACACTTTTTTGTGAATATTTCATGACCAGAATTAGTAAATGGCAATTTTAAGGTGGCTACATGTTTCTACATATTTTGGGAACACGTATGCTAAAAATAATATTTTTTCGAAAATCTTAAATATTTTTTTTTAAATTTTGAAAATTGTCCCGTTTCACCCCGTTTTCGGGGTGACTAGGGACAAGCACTTATTTAGCACTAGAAACCATTGTAAGGCGTTTCTGGAGTGAGACGGGACAAAAATAGAAATTTTTAAAAAAGTAAACATTATTTTTATTGATTTTTGAACAAAATAAAAAAATTTCTACACAAGAAATTATAAAAAAAAAGGTCATTTCTTTCGATAACAATAATGGGTCTACCTAATTTTTCAAATTTATTTGGAATGGAAATTTAACTGCACCTCTTCGCAGTTCCACAGGTCTTGGAAGTATTTTCAAAACCTGGGAAATGTTTACTGTGGATTCATCGGGAACTATTGGAAAAGCAAAGCCATTTTCTATTTTCGAATGTTCTCTTAAAAAAGTGATTCTTATTTGGTCACCAGATTTGTCTAAAATTTTTCCCACAAAATTTTTCGAAAACTTTCCGTCTGTAAATTTTACAATTGCAAAATCTTCAATGTGCAAATCAGTCACTTCCTCTGGCTCTTCTTCCAGGTTTTCCACATCTTCATTTTGATTTCTTTCTTCTCCCTCAGACTCTATGTCTTGTATGCTCCCATTATCATCAGATTCACTTCTATTTAATTCCATCTCCATTTCACTATTGTCAGAATCGGAGTCAGAACTTCTTTCACATGTCACACTTCTACCGGGTGTTACTAGAATTTTCTTTCCTTTACCTTTCTTTGCTGGGTTTGTTGGAGTTCGCTGGTTCTTTAAAAAGTCTGTGAGCGTTTCGGTCCAAGCTAGTTGGCCCTCATCTTCTCGAACAGGCTCTGGGGGTAGACGTTTCAAGACCTGATCCCTGTCGAGTGGAATAAGACCACAACAACGAAATCCAGCCTTTATGTTGTCTTCTAGCTTGTCTCCAATATTATCCAAAGCTTTGTTTAATAAGCCTGGAAACTCAGGTTTTGGGAGTACTCCTTTATTTTTTTTCTTCCACTCTAACAAAATTTTTCTCCACGATTGCTTGAGTGGTTTAAAAAATGCTGTATCCAGAGGTTGTGTAAGGTGGGTGCTATTGGGAGGTAGCAAAACGAATCTGATATTATTTTTTTGACATTCCATGATGACATTTTGGGAGATGTGGCTACTCAGGTTATCGCCTATTACAACCTTAGGCCCCTCAAGTCTTCGGAAGTAGCCTAATGCTATAGTCAAAAACCACTGTTCAAATTGATTTGAATCGAACCATCCACTTTTTGTATTTCCATATCTAGAACCCTGTGGTCCATTTCTTATCCAGTTTTCATAGAGATGTTCTGATTTGAACACCACGTATGGCGGCAACATTACACCAGATCCACTAATTGCAAACATGACTGATGTTGATGTTTTACTGGAATCAAGAATACGGTCTGCATGTTTGTTGCTTCTGCGAATAACGACACGCTGACGGCCCGGATCGTCCGTGAAGTTTGTCTCATCATAGTTCACGATGTTCGCAAGAGGAATGTTTTCTAGAGATAAGTTTAGTTCATCAAAATAGACATTTATTGCTTGCCTGTCAACTGCAGCCCTTGCTCGTTTAATGTTTTCGGAAAGTCTTAAAGCCAAATTATTTTTGTGGCGCAATAAAAATGATTTCATCCAGTCCGGCCCTGGCATATTATTTGTAAATCTTTTTATGTTTACACCCATTCTGTCATAGTATTGTTTTACCAAAATCCGTATATCCATTGGTTCTAAGGGAAATCCCCAATCGGCAACACACAACAAAGAATTCACTATTTTTTTTTCGTCTGCTTCAGCTAAGGCCAATTGACCCCCAGGTTTTTTTAAATTTTGTTTGATGACATGCTGATTAATGGTATTTCTGGATACCCCATACCGTTCCTCTAACTCTCTATAACTTGTTTGTTTCGCTAACCTTTCCCTAACGGCCATTTCAAGTCTTTTTTTGTCGTAATTTTGATATGGCCTTGCGCCAAGCCTCCTAACATATTTACGAGGCATGTCCCGAGTCACCCTAAAAAGTGCATTCAATCAGATTTTCTATCACAAAAAAATAAATAAAAATTTCTGAGCAAAAACGACCTTATTACATCTTTAACAACATATTAGCGGACAAAAAAATAAATAAAACATACATGTCATCACTTACCTTGATATATTTACAGACAACAATTGTAGCGGTTTGAAAAAACACCGATTCTCTATACTTTGAAAACAAATTTTTTGTCGCTGTAAAGACTCACCCGGTGCCGCCCGCATTAGGTGTATTAAAGACCTCAAAGTGTATGCTAATCCCCAGAATATTTATGTTGACCTCCCACCTTGCTCACCCCTGTTGCCAATTTTTATGGAAGCGCGCGCCCAAGTGTCCCAAGTCAACCCGTAGTCCAGAGTCACCCCGTTTGACGGTACCTATCTTACTTCTATAGCCTATAGGTGCTGCGTGCTTCAGTGCTTCAGTGCTTCAGTGTTTCTTTGCCTTCTCACTACCAGACACTACAAGAAGAATTAAATTAATTTTTCTTTTCAAAATATAATTCCAAATGATTCCAAAACAATAAAAATCTTAAATAAAATAAGTTGAAAACAGAATTCGAAATTTGAACATTGGACTTTACCCTACCCCAGACCTTGCTGATTTCTTTACTCGGAGTGGAGTGGAGTAAATGGAGCTAACTCCAAAAGTGAAAACTGTCTTTTCCTTCTATTCCGGGAATTCGTCATAAATTAATTGTTTTTATTATTTATCGTTTTCAATTATCTTATTGTAAGCAATTAGTATTATCAATAATAAATAATCTAATTCTACATCTCATCACACAGGACTCCATTACATTAGAACCTGTTAACTGTAGTAGTGTTTAGTGTTTGGCCCGGTTGTACAACGGATATTCAACCGAAGCTCACACTTACTAGTGGTTCAAAGGAAGTGCTTATTGAGCTGAAAGTTACTGGCTTTTGCACAATGCGTCGTAAAATGTATTATCCACTCCCGCCGAAAAATTAACTCACTCAAAAGCACAGCCTGAATCGCAAGCAATTCATCGAGGTCTGCGAGTGACGTCACCACTGTCCGCTGCAGATTGATAGTGGTGACGTCATCAGCAGACCCGCCGTCGACTTGAGCACTGGCGAACGTAAAGCATAGTAAGGCTCGGTTGTACCAAATAGAGGCTCAGTAAAACTACAGTGCAGTAGAACCATACTGTTACTTGATCTTTAATTTTTGCCAGTTAACTTTTTTGTTCGTTCTGATCGGTCGGAGTGCGTACGGAGCAAGGATGCGTACGGAGTACTTGGAGCGCCCAAGGCCAGAACCAACCGAAACTAAACCTAAAAACCTAACCTTAATTTCTAATCTTGCCTCACACAACAAAAACAAAGTGAAATTTTTTATTTTTTCAGTTTTTTCACAAGCATTGTGCATAGTTTTTATGAAAATTGAATGAAACTTGTCTAAGATGGAAGGAAATAGTAAGGAAACCGACGTACATCTACGAAATATATTGAGTTCCCCTGTAAAATATACTCCAGCTGTTCCTGTGCCTGATTGGAATCCTCCTGCTTCTATTCCACCTTTACCCATCAACTTGGTAAGTTATCAGTGGGCATAACTTTTTTATGTCAGGTACTGTATCACCACCAACAATGTGGCCATGTGAATTTTTCACAATTTCGAATCTTGCACCCTCGCTTGCACCATCAGAAAATGTAACTAATAATGACTATGAGGTACTTTTTTTTTAAAACTGTTTATTAACAAGAATATTACAATATCATCAATGTTTGGAACACTGGTAGCTTAACAATAAAAAACAATATACAGGGTTTCCCGGTTCAACTGGTCAAAAATGCTAGGGTCGAGGCTAGGGTATACAGAATCCCAACTATTTCATAGGGACAGCATTGCTATCTCGGAAACGGTTGAAAAAGTTACGAGGGCGTTTAAATTAGAAAAAAGTTACCATTAGTGAAGAATATGAAAAAAATAAGGTAGGTAGGTACTTCTGATTATGAACTATCAGCTGTATGCAACATCCTATTTTAACTTAGAAGCGCTTTTTGAAACTGGTCACTTTTAAAAATGTGTATTCTAAGGCATACAAATTTTTAAAGGTACCAGTTTTAAAAATCGCTTTTAAGCTAAAAGAGGATGTTGCATACAGCTGTATGTCTTTAAAATCAATAGATTTTAAAATATTTGATAAAATTGTTTTTGCTCATTTTCAAAAATCATCCTGTATTTGAAAAACTAATAGAAATTTGGAAACAACGAAAATATATTTTAAATATTCTTCAAAAATGGCAACTTTTTTCTAATTTAAATGCCCTCGTAACTTTAACCGTTCCCGAGATAGCAATACTTACTGTCCCTATGAAATAGTTGGGTAGAGATGGCCCTGAGAATATTCTCCAAAGAACTTCTATTGAGAACAGAGAATTTACCGAGAATATTCTTTGACCTTAAATTCTAGAGAATTTATTTATTTTTTTAGGTTCAAGAATTTATGAGAATATACGATAATTATTGGAGAATTTATGGGAAGTTAGCTGTAATTTTTAAGTTTATCAGTTCTTTGTGAAAAACGGAAAACAGACCCGGAGTCCTATGCATCCGTCATCCGTTTTCCGAAGTTCGTTATCCGAAAAACCTTCTATTCTGACATATTTTTGTGCCACAGAGTACTGAGTGTATTTCCAGCTCTTTCTCTCAGCCTCTTGAAGAAACAGAGAGAAACACAAATACATTTTTATTTTTTTTTTGCACGATTTCTACCAACCGAAAACGCCATAAGTTATTGGGATTTCAAATTAAGATTGTAGCGCCGCGGTGGCGAATAGCTCAACTACTTTCTAGTACATTGATTCATAACCTCACTTTTATTTTTAACTTAATTTGCATATGATTTACATTAGCTTGAATGTTTGTCTTGTGTTTATGGGCTTTATGGCTCCTGATGCAGGCCAAAATTCAATGTAATCTATTGCGCTTACCTGACCCGAAATGGTCATATCCATACAACAGCCTAAACAGATCTTTTTCTTAAAATTTTCCACTATAGGACATTGCCAAAAGGGTCAAGGCAGGTGTCCCTTATAATGTCTGTATTTGAATAACTTGTATGTGCAATAAATAAATAAATATTTCATAAATAACTCTTTATTTTTATTAATAAACCAGCTGACCCGACGAACTTCGTACCGCCTCTTAAATTAAATGTTGTGTTAACGTATCTATTAGCTGAATCAGAGCTGGGCAAAATACTTTCAAAAAGTATTTAAATACTAAATACTAAATACCTAATAAAGACACAGTATTTAAATACTAAATACTATTTGACTTGAAAAGAAATAAATACTAAATACAAAAAGTATTTAAATACTTATTTAAGTATTTAAATACTTTTTAAGTATTTAAGTACTTTAAAAAGTATTTAAATACTTTAAAAAGTATTTAAATTCTTTAAAAGGTATTTACCTAAATACTTTTATTAGGCAAATACCTAATTCAAAAGCTTCAAATAGTACATTTCGTCACTAGTGCGAATAGACGGGCAGACGGCCTTTTTCAAACGAGGGCAATGATTTTGGAACGAGTCGTAGTTTGTAGGAGAAGGAGCCATCGGCGGAGGCGAGTTTAGAAAAGAAAGGCGTCCATTCGCACGAGTGACGAACGATATTTTTCATAACGAAGTGTTGAAGGGCATAGATTCATTCCCACCATTAAACACAAGGTAATTGCCAAGGTCTAGCGAAAACAATAAATTCCTACTAATCAACCTAGAAACATTGAACCAAGATTAACTCTGTCACAACAGTGTTATTATACCGATAAAGTACGATTGATTTGACTACTGGATGCCCTTTTTTGCACTGTCCAAATCAAATCAAACAACACTTCGTTATGAAAAATATCGGTCGTCACTTGTGCGAATAGACTAGTCGCTATTCGCACTAGTAACGAAATGTTCTATAAATTCTGATAGCTGAAATACTCTGGCAAAAGTGGAAAGAAGAAAAAGTATTTAAATAATTTTGATAGTAGTTAAATACTTGAAAGTATTTAACTACTTTTGAAAGTATTTAAAATACTTCAAAGTATTTAAATACCAAATATTTCAAAAAGTATTTGGATTCATAAATACAAATACCAGTTTTAGAAAAGTATTTAAATACTAGGTATTTAAATACTTTAAAGTATTTAAATACTAAAAAGTATTAAGAATTGCAAATACTGCCCAGCTCTGAGCTGAATTAAATTCAGTTTTTTTCGATGGTGAATTTGGCTTTGGTTGAAGAAAATTAATGTTTACTCTCTGGATCAGAAGGCACCTAAAATTAAAATTTTACATCATCCTTTTTTAGGCAGCTTGTGGGCATTATTCTTGTAAAGTGTACCACCAAATAAATAAACTCAGGCACAGGAATGTTCAAAAAATGTAAAGAAAACAAAAAAAAATCTCTAGCGCAGCCCTATTTCACTCTATCTGCACTGCATGCACTGCACTACTCCATCTGTTCTACTCTATCTGCACTACTCTATCTGATCGGAATAGTGGAATAGTTCTGTGCAGCATTGTTCTACTGTATCTGCAATGCCGAGCTTCGTTCCAGGTATCAGAGATGGCGCAGTATACAAAATAAACTTGGTATCGGTTATAAGACATGGCGCCGTATGCGGGCTTGGTAAATTTTTTTCATAAATAAATAAAATAAGTAATGAAATGACCACATTAATGACATAACAACATGCTGGTACTGTCAACGCTGAAAAAAGTTTGAATTTGACAGCAAAATGATGCTCCATTTATTGAATAATTAATTTATTACAAAAAAATGTTATAAATGAAGAACCGCTCGACCGATTTTGTGCAAACTTCACATAAACCATCTAATAAATAGTCCGAACAAAGCCTAAACATTTGGTTTGGCTAGGTGAGTCCGTTCTTTAGTTATAAAATTACAACGAAAAGTGGCATTCATTTTTTAGATAGGTAAATATTGAATTAACAAAGTCAAATAACTTGACCACAAACCTGCCTATAATACTGGTAATTAGAATTTAGTAAAAACTTAACACTTTCTGCTGTTTGCTCGTCCATTTGTATGTTTGTCTCAAAAGAGTTTAATAATTGAATACAAGTATCACTACATTCATTACTTAAACCGCTCTCACTAGAATCTTGATTTCTTTTTCTTTTGGCAGGTCTTTCAGCACACATGGAATCTGTTTTTTGGCTGGGTTTATGGATCACTGTAGAATAGGGCAAATTCTGGGATGGTTCAGCTGTTTTTTTCAATATCTGACCTTTACCTGTACTCCCACCTGTAAATAATAAAAACAGTCAAAATTTTCAAACAAAACATTTCAAAAATAGATAATAGGTTCTTAATCAATGCCTAGGAGCATCCTAAAAGGACGCTAGGACACAAAAATATCTATTATATTTGCTTACCTTAACACAAACTTCTTGCTTAAAATGCAGAGAAATACACTTTCATGAATTTGATGACTGGTTTGCTAATACGAAGTTTTGAAATCCAGGCTTTTCTTCTCCATTCTAACTATTTTCCCATCTTCATTTCCAAATAAACCCGTAAGCCTGTTTCAAGGGGAAATATGTGGAAACTCAACCCTTTGTTAGCATCTTTTTTGGCCCAAAACTTGCACTGAGGAACACAACAGTAGTGATTTGAGGTCATGATTGAATGTATCTGATATAATTGACACTTATTTATTTCCCAACACGCTTTAAAAATTCAAAAACACTTTAAAAATATTCACAAAAACACAATGGTAAACAATACAATAACAAGCGACAATGTACTACAAACTAGTTCCATAATTTGCCGCCAGATAGAGTATCGCTTATCTTGAAATCCCAATTACATTGTTCCTGTACTGTGCAGAGTGTGTGTAAAGAAATATTTAATTTAATATTAGTTTTGAGGAAACTCCTTTGAAAATTAAACCTAGAGGGTTGATATGAAAATATTTCAGACAAAATAAGGACAAAAAATTTAAATGTAAATTTTGTGATTTTGTTTATCAAAAAATGCGAAAAGCCCCAAATGATGTTAAGAAGCTATATTCGGGGATAATACCACGAGAGCTTCAAAATTACCGATAATTTTTCACGATTGCGTGTTTTCTATAATATCACGAGTCCGTAGGACGAGTGAAATTTATGGAAAAATATGGAAAAATATGGAAATAAATATGTAGTAAACGATTTAAGCATCTTAACAATCAATACAAATAAATGGTTGCTATCAGGAACCGTTTGTTTGTATCAAAAATTAGCATGACAACCATGTATACAATAACATGGGAGAATTTTCGCTGTAATTCTCTCTAGTTAAACAAATGGAAAAGAGAATTTTCGCTGTAATTCTGAAAATCGTCACTTGTCTTATGGGATTTCTAACACATGAGTGGAATAATCTTCGAAATTCCCTAAAATTCTCCAAAATTCTCCAATTTTCCCGAATATTCTCTGAGAAAATTCTTTCAAAATAAATTCCCGAGAATTTGCCATCTCTATAGTTGGGACCCTGTATAGAGGAACTCTATAGAGAAGTAGTTTGAGAT